ACAACACTAACTAAACCATAATAATGATCGCGTGGAAGACTTGGTCCGAGTAACTACGGTCAAGTTTATATGTTTGCATGTTCTTATAAAATTTAGTTTTGATTAATGAATGCGTGAAACCCCAACTGGACACCCCATCGATACGTATTAATTTTATTTTTTTTGATAACCTTGAGACAATATCACTACTTTATACGAATTTCTTACTACGCATACCTCCGCATATTGTTTCCTGAATCCCACAAGTATAAGTTACCGAAAAGACTTTTTGTTGTCATTTATGAGTGAGGTTTATAGTAAGCTTGTATATTCTCTCTCATTACTCTTCTGAATCAATTCAATTTGACTGCCGCAATGCTTTATTTACTACATTAATTGATAAGTGTACATCTAAAATTTCGCTGGTAGGTGGTCAATGATGCTACGTACGTATTACCGAACTTGTTAATGAAAAGATAGCCTCAGCCCGAAAAAAGCAACATTTTATCACTTGACTTAAAGAGGTTAATATATGTTACTTTGACCAACAGCATTCCGACGTGAACCATCACAAGGGCAACGAATAACTTGGGCTTCTACCACTTGTTTAGGTTGGCCATTATTATTAAAAATACTACCAGTTGGTAAAAGAGGAATAAATAAATTTATTAATTTCATGTGAGGAAAAATAAATTACTCAAGGCAACAAATTTTTATTAGAATAGAAAGTTATCATCGTTTGAAATGCATGATTTTTTCAACATATTTTTCATTAACTGAGACAGTAGTTTTTAAAAAATTCTTTTTTTATGCTCATTGAATTAAATCAGTAACACAACGAATAAAAAAAAACATTCAAAATGAAGATGTAATAAATTAACTTTAATTGTATTTCTTCAATTTTGAGATGTGAATGAATATTGAACAGATAATGTAAATAATCTACAGATTACTTTAAACTGATGAACATCAAGTAACTCGTAGATTTTGAATTATTCATGATTTACGGTTAATGTTGGCGTTACACGAAATTTCAATCCATTGATTTATTATTATGGATTGTTATAAATTTTTTATCACTTGAGTTATTGAATTCAATTCGCTAAGCTAAATTGACAACTTCAATTAACATAAATAAATAAGAACCACTAATATTTTAATTTTAATTGAAATCCTAGAAGCGACCAAAAAGTGCGAATACAGTAATTTAAATAAACTATCCCTTACACCGTCAATTTAACTACATATTACTACGATTAGACTATAATTTGAAAGTTTAATCACAAAATTTCAAGGCAAATTTTCCTGCAAACGGTGTAAGGAATAGGTTTTTACTCTAAAAATGTAGTTTGTTTACAATAACTAATAGTTTAGTGATAACGTACATATGTTTTTACTTGGAAAGGCAGGTTTATCTCTGCCTTAAAACAGGCAGAGATAAAGTCATGTGATCAAGCGTCTTTGTTTCATTTTCCGACGGCATCAAGAAGCCGTCGGAGAGCGAACTGAATTTTAAAAATAATATATAGTTATTGTGCAAGTTATAAAAAATATGCACGTGGATGTTGAATGACAGCAGGTGATTTGCGCCAATTACCTGCTGTCATTCAACATCCACGTGCATATTTTTTATAACTTGCACAATAACGATATTATTATGAAGCAGTTATTAACGACTGTATTATTGTCTCATATTCGTTGTTTACGTCATAAGCAAAACGTAATCAGTAGTATAAATAAAATTTTCTTTTGATCATTTTTTCTGCTTACATTTTTTTCTTCTTACATTCGAATAACTTACGATGCCTAAAACTAAAAAAAACAAAATTTATCAAAAACCTACTAACGAACAACTATCATACTTGCCCAACAAATCTAAAGTTTTAAATACTTATAAGTCAACAAAAAACTGGATAGATAAATTTCAACAATATCGTTCTGATGTTGGTTCTGATAATGCACCAGAAGATATTGATAATGTTCAAGAACTTGAAGTTCAGTTATGTGAATTTTTTGCCGTTGCCGAAAAAGGAGATGGATCACCATATTCTGTTAATTCACTTTTAGCTGCTATTCGAGCAATTAACAGATTTTATAATTCAAGTGTTAGCAAGATAAAACCTGTTAATTTGTGTGATCGTCAAGCATTTCCCGATCTTTGTGAGATATTAGATGGAAAAACTAAAGATCTAGCTGAAAAAGGATATGGCGAAACACATGGATCAGATTCATTATCATTTGAAGAAATTCAATCTATACTACAACATGAAGCAACATCTAGAAATACTCCTGAAGGATTGTTGTATCGGATCTTTTTATATAATGCAATTTTTTTAGCTTTAAGGGGTGGCGAGCATTACACATTAATGTTAAAAAATTTTCAAAAAAGAAAAGATGGAGGCTTCGACGTATATATTTATAAGTCTAAAACTAATCAACGTGGGTTAGATAACCTTGGCGCTGCAGATAAAATTTCTATCCCTGTTGATAATTCTGTAATTATTGAAGATTATGAAAAGTACTTTTCAAAAAGGCCTGTTAATGCTGATCCCGGATTTTATTTACACCCTATTGGTACAAAATCTGCACCTGGTATTTTAAGAATTTACTAATTTACTAATTTATTATTTTATTAGTTAATATACTGTATTATACTTATATATATATATTAGATTATTCAACTATCAATATTTGGTATCAAAAAAACCAACTTGGAGAACGTAAAATAAATGCATTTATGCGAATATTGGCTGAAAAAACCGGAATTAATTGTGAAGACCGCAAGATTACTAACCAAGCAGGTCGTAAGACCCTTGTGCAACGGTTAAAAGACTTAGGCACTTCTGATTATGAAGTTTCAACTATTACAAGACATCGATCTTTATCAAGCCTTGCTCGTTATGAACGGCCAAAGGATGGTGTTCAGAAAGCTACATTAAATAGTTTAATGACAATTTTAGAAACTCCTGACTCATCATTAGATGTTCAAGTTCCTCAATCTAATATGCTTCCTACTACTGACTCATATAATCAATTCAGATCTGCAAGACAAATTTACCAAGGTAAAGTATCTTGCTATTTTTCTTTTTTTTATTACGATTTAATAAAAATTTTTTCTTTTATTTAATTAAAGCGAATCATGCATCGAAACTGCGATCAATTCCACCACAAGTAAAATCATCAAAATCACAATCAACTCCACTACAAGCAAACATATAAACTTGACCGTAGTTACTCGGACCAAGTCTTCCACGCGATCATTATTATGGTTTAGTTAGTGTTGT